TTTACTAACCAAAAATTATGTGGAGTAGTTAATGTTTAATAATATGTAAATTGGTTCATAAATTAGTTAAATTTAATAAATTGTTGCAGTTATTAACTAACGGATAGAAAATTAGACAACTCAAGATCGATGATGATCCATTCATTCATTAATCAATCCTAACCACGTGAAAGTGGTATATATAATTAAGTTTAGCTAGATTTGTGTGGGGTATATCACTTATATAGTTGCCTGATTATATGGGAATATACATGGATGAATGATCAAACGTTCATGACATTTAATTGATCAATTCGCTTTTTAAAAATAATTGTTATCATAGAAGTGAAGCCTACAATTTTGTCAGAGAATATTGGAGATCAGATAACACATGCACCTATCACTGACTGCCACTTACCCCCCCTAATATTTATTCATGCATTCTTGAACAAGCCTCTTCGATCTCATGCGTATACTATGAGTAGTGAGTAATTATAAGATCACACTTTGATAGCTTCAATTACAATCCTCATAAAATTATTGCCAACTAGCTTTAAATTATGACTCCGTATATTCATTATGATCAATACGTACATGTAGATCATTATTCATCATTGTAATTAAGACCTCACAAACGAGTTGGATTTAAGTAGTTGGATGGTTTCAAATTAAGTTTGTCGTTTTGGGATTAGGACATACATTAGGTGATCATCAACAATTATTGAATTTGGTTTGAACAATAGTTGCTTAATGCCCAAGCATTTAGGTTGAATCAACGGGTTAACAAGATAAAGAATTTTCAAATGCTTTTGGTATTTCCAATTTTTTTTTTTTTTTTTTTTCCGAATATGATACATATTAAATGTCGAGAATAACAAGTTATAAAAAATTAATTCATCTTTATATTCATAACCAAATCTAGCCAAATGATGTACCATACGTAGTCTAAGTCCAATTATACATTTTAAATCTTGTGATTAATTTTTACTATATGCATGTAATGGTTTTCAAGTCAATGGGGTTACAAACAGGACATGTCGAGTTTCACTTGAAAGCTTGCACAAACTTCAAATAAAGCATGTTTTAAACAAATTCCTATGCAATGCTTTTAAGTTGAATTAAGTTTTATTTGAATGTTCTTTTGAGCTGTTATGCTCTGCTGAGCCCCTGCTCTACTCTGTTTAAAAATAATAATTAATATTTAATAATAATAATAATTAATATTTAATAATAATAATAATTAATATTTAATATTAATTGATAATAATAACTAATATTTAACTTCTACTACTACTAATAATAATAACAATAATAATAATAATAATAATAATAATAAGGGAAATTCTCAACGGTGACCCCTAACTTCTGCTACGCACCAATAGTGACCTCCCTTTTTTTATTATACAAAATGGAGAGAGGGTAGAGAAGATGGCGGAAAAGAAAGAGAGAGAGATCGGTGGTTTAGTGGTCGGGGGGTGGTCGTGTTTGGGTTTGGTGGTCGGGGTTCTGAGTTCGACAATCTAGTGGTGGTGACGGTGAGAAGGACGAGAGGGGATTTGGAAATTTGGCTTGGCGGTGGTCGAGGTGGAGTTGGCGTAATGTCACCGGCATTCGGGGGAGTCTGGGTAGCGTTGCCGGCGATTGATGGAGCCTGTGGTAGTGTCGCCGAAAGGGAAATGGTGGCTGGGCAGGTGGTGGCTGGTTTTTGGTGGTTGAGGTTAATTTTTTTTAATTTTTCTTTTTTTTTTAAATATAATTCTAACAATAGTTAATATTTAATGAAATAAGGTTATGAGTGAGATGAAAATTTTAACTAAGGTCATTTTGTATAATAAAAAAAAGGGAGGTCACCATTGGTGCGTAGCAGAAGTTGGGGGTCACCGTTGAGAATTCCCCTAATAATAATAATAATAATCACTAAAATTAATAAAATAAACATTCTGCGTTGGCATAAATTGATCATGCGGGGTCTGTGTTGACTTGATAGGGTCTTCTCCTTTGACACAGTTTGGGCTATCTGACTTTGTTCCTGGACAAGTTGTGACTGATGCGGCTCTTTGAAAGCGGGTCAAATATGAATCTAGTTGTGGGGCAATTGGATATGGTTTCCTCCCTTTCTCCTTTTCTTCACTTGGAGAATTAGAGAAAGAGGTTGTTACGTACCCCATAATATTATTAGCTAATCTATAAATCTATTGTTATTATTAGCTAATCTTTAACCACTACTCTTAATATAGTGCCGTACCCCATAATGATACAAGCTATAACCAACTAATTTCTCGATCTCAATTATTTTGATGATGAAGTTTCTATATATAATAAGACAAAGTTTTAACGTCAAAAGCTTAACCTCAAAAAATACAAATATTTTTATATATTTATTATTAGGAAAATAAAGAGGATTTAGTTTCTACATAAAACAAGACTAGCTAAAATTAAAATTCAACATAGTTAGACCAAAAATGCAATTGAAGCATCATGTTAATTGGAGGAATTGAAGAGACGATGACGGGTTATTGTCAACATGTCATTATCTTCATAGGTTAAATCAATATCCAAAAACCCACTCAATTAATAATAATAACGAGCTTCGGAGGAGAGAGAAAACTGTTCATTCTAAATAGTACGAGTACTATTTTTTAAAAACAAATATTAACCTAATAACTTTTCAAAAAATTATACTATATCCGTTAATTATTATTTACAATTTTGGGTTATTATTTGTGAGATTTAAAAATTTCAAATTTACACATACGAGTACTAATTAACAAGGATAATATTTAATGTCAATATTTTCCTCAGCATTTCTTTAATTGTTATGTGCATTAACATGGGTACAATCCTGTTGGACAAATTGAAGAGATGATGACGGACTGTCAAGATGTCATTATCGTCATAGGTTAAATCAATATCCAAAACCCACTCAATTATAATCAAACTTTGGAGGAGAGAGAAGTGTTTTTCTTTCTTTCTTTTTGACAAAATGTGCAAATTTGTGTTGGCATCTTTGGCATTCCAATCAATTAAAAGTCAGTCTATTTCATAAAATTCATTATAATTATAAATATAATTAAATTATGAGTAACTTTAATTTAAAACCACTTGTGGACACCTCTACGTAGGCACTATATCTACGCCCACATATTGCGGGAGGTAAAGTAATGATATGATAGGGAAGAATATTATTTTTAGATAACCTACTTTGGTTTAATCCTAATTTAACACCACCTTATTACAGCTAATCTAGTTCCCTTTCTTTTCTTTTCTTTTCTTTTTTATTTTTTTTAAGGGCGAAGTCCATGCTTTTAATTATTATTTGATGCTAATATATGCTACTATAATTATTATTGGATCAATTATTAGTGTGACGAATAATTATTGTAGCTAATTAAGCTAGCTAGTGCCGCCTTTAGGCTATGCATGATGCCTCCCTAGCATGTCAATTAAGGTCAAGGGTGGTGCCGTTTATATATGTCACCGATCGATGTAAATCATATAATGCTCATCGTTAAAATTATTATTACTTGTTACTAGCCTACGATCTAGGGCTTGTAAAGGGCAAATTAATGTTAAGAAACTAACTCTGATTGTAGAAGTCAAGCATCAAGAGATATTCTAATGCATTATGGATTAAAGTAGATGTGTTATTGTCTATCCTCTTTGATCTATCTAAAAAGATTGAGAAATTATGTCTTATTAGATGTTGTCACTCCTCTTTTACAAAATAGAAGGTCTATTTTTAATTAAAGGTTATTTTCATAGTGTGTATGTACTCGATGGCTACTAAATTGGTAGTTGAGTTATAATAATTCAACGAGTTCACAAAAAAAAAAAAAAAAAAAAAAAAAAAAAAAAAAAAAACACTTTTTTTAAGGATTCAAAGCACAACTTACACCTTACAAGATGATATACATATAAGGGTGTATTTAGAGAGAGACTTTCTTGACAATACCTCAACCAATATATATTATGTGTTTGGTCCACTTTTCAAGGGTCGAACAAGCAGTTAAAAGTAAGAGGAAAACTCATTAAGTTATTTGTGACCAAATCCTATAGTTAATTTTAACGAGAGCGAGTATGTTTGGGAGAAAATTTTGTTACAGTGATAAATCAACTTTATTGTTTCTCTAGAGTTTCACGATTGTACCACACTAGTAACATATATAATGCAACCATTTTCACATAGGCTACACTTTTGATATTTAAACAGTCTGAGAATAGAGTAACCCTTATAAGTCCATTTTCACATTTATTGACAATGTAATGTACCTTTCACATGGTATCAAAGGGTTATTATACTTATTGATAAGTCCATTGGTGCACTAATTGTTTGGGGGTTTTCTATGTGTCCTTCGGGAGAGTTACAATTTCCTAGCAGACTTCCTTCTTACGCCTGTACCTGCACCTAGCTGACTTCCTTCTTACGCCTGTACCTGCACAAGTAACGGAGACTCCGGATGGGGGGTGGGAGTTCCGCCTCCGAAGATTAAGTTAGTATCTTTTCGAAGTGGAACAGTAAAAGCTTCTCGGTTCGAGAGCGTTTTAGTAGGTTTTGGCTTTGTTTGGTTTTTTTGTGGTTGCAATTAATGTATGTGTGTCATAAATGAGGTCTACCCTTACTATTTATAGTAAGGGAGAACTGTACCTCAATTAGGGTATAAGGGACACGTGTCTGCAAAGGAATTGGGCCTTTGCAGACCGCTGAAAGATTGACACGTGTCAAGCCTTTATTGGGCCACGTGTCTTAGGGTATTTTCACCCTAAACACTAATCTTCTATATCCCAAATGCTCTTCACTAGTAGAAAATAGTAAATTGGAAGCGGTTCAAAACCATAATTGGAAGCGGTTTTTGAACCGCTTGCCATTAGGGGGCTTCCCATTGTCTCTTTAAATGGGAAGCGGTTCAAACCGCTTCCAATTTGATTGGAATGGGAAGCGGTTTAATGCTGAACCGCTGCCCATTATGAATTAAAAAAAAAAAAAATTAACAGCAATTAACACACAAAATATAAAACATATGTATAAAAATTTATATTTCCATTAATAACTAATTGTAATATTATTACATTATAATTCACCACCAAAAAATATTACAACCAAAATCACCACCACCCTATTCCGCCACCACCGCAGTCAAAGCCACCAGCCCGCCACCATCCGACGCCAGCAATTAACACATTTAACAGAAGCCAGCAGCCCACTACCGCAACCGACGCCACCTCGCATCCAACAAAAATCAAAATTAAATTGAAATACCTGGACAACAAATTAATAAAAAAACATGAATATTTTTATCTACAATCAACAAAAAATATATATATATATATATTGTTGCTCGATTTTTCCCAGAACCCAGAAAAACCCAAAACCCCCAGCCTGCATTCACGGCTTTCCCACCTCCACCCCTGTACACCACTACGCCACCCCCAACCTGCATCCACGCCCTTTCTCACCTCCACCTATGTTCACCACTACGCCACCCCCACCCATAACCATACTCTGAACCCACCAACTCCACCCACCCTAACCCACAATCCAAACCCATCCTAACCACCGAATACCCAAACCAGCCCACCACCACAACCCTAAAACCACTAACAACCACCAAAATTCACCACCAGAAACCAAAAAATAAAATAAATATATTAAAAAAAAAAACTAAATTGAAAACAAAAGAAAAAAAAATCTAGATCTACAACACTAACCTGCTCGGATTTTGCTCGTTTTCTCCTCGGATTTTTGCCAGTGATAAGAGGAGAGAGAAAACAAAGGGAGGCTTAAGAAAGGAGAAGGAAAGAGCAGAAAGAGAACGAAGGAGATGGAGAGAGTAGAGGAGTGAGAAATGAAGGAAGAAGGGGCGTGAGAAATAAGGGGAGGAGAGAGAAGAAGAATGGGCGTGAGAAAAGGGGGGAGAGGAGAGAGAAGAAGAAGGGGCGTGAGAAATAAGGGGAGAGAGAGGAGAGAGAAGAAATAAGGGAGCTGAGAGAGGGGTCCGTGTTTTTTTTTTGGGGGAATGGGGAGCGGTTTACCCCCAAACCGCTTCTAATTACAATATTTGGAAGCGGTTTAACCCAAAACCGCTCCCCATTTGTATGTTTTAGTTTTTTTTTTTTTTTGTGCTTTTTGGGAAGTGAATTTTAGTAACCGCTTCCCATTTGTGGCTTCCAAATTATTTTTTTTTACTAGTGCTTTATCCCCTCCCAAAATCAACATTCTCTAGTTGTAAAATCATGAAATGGTAGAAAAAGGGTATTTGTGGTTGAATTAGCACTAAATGTACTGTCAAAAAAATACACTCTGGTGTTTTTGTATTTATGTACCCACTAAAACCACATCCATAGGAGTATCTTAAACTTCATCCACCTGAAAACATTAAACTAAAACTACAAGATCTATCTATGCTTTGCTGATCTGTAACTTAATATTATTACAAACTGCTATAAGCTAAGCCCCACTTATTGCCATGGTCCATATTCCTTTAATTTTTATCTTGTTAGTACATACATTTTTTATGTATAAATATTGTATATTTGTATATACTATAGTTGTACTATATTTATATTGTGGTACTACATATATACTCTACATCTCATCTATCATACATATAATGAATAATGAATAAGATGGGCCTATTTATAAATATCTGGAGTGATTTGCAAGCAACCTGATCAAATTCTATTGTTAAATGCATGCCAAGTGAATCTCAGTGCTAATTTTGATGAGATGGCCGCTGTCATCATCATACATAACCCTAACTAATTACACTTTAGCATGCTATAGAACAGGGGTAGTTCTGAGCATAACTTTCACTTTCTGGACTAACGTGGATCTGCCCTCGAAAGTATCTCCGCATTTTGAGAACATGTGCAGGGTGGTCGACCGCACAGGGCCCCTAAGTGAAAATACTATAAAAGGGTCCTAATATTTGAAATTTACTTATACAAAGTAAAGGGAAAACTTGTTAATCAATAATCTATTCTTCACTTTTATCATAAAATTTATAATTTAGTAATTTCCTTACAAAAATGATTTTAGGGCCAATTAAACAAAATTACACCGGGCCATTTTTAGTGTTAGCATTTGTAGCCCCGCCTCTGCTATAAAAAGAATATAAGTAGTTGTGTGGACTTATACATTTTTTTCATTGATGTTTGTTTGTTTGTTTGTTAGTTTTAAAGCCCATTACTCACTTTTATTGAGATACAAAGTAGATATTTTTTATCCTCACAATGTGACTCTTAATGCTATCTCCATTCTATAATAATAATTGATAAACTGTAGTTAAAATTGACATACTTGTTAAATAGTCAAAGTTAATACGGAGTATATAAGTCAGCATTCTATATCGAACTATGCACCAACATGTTTTAGGTTTTTTTTTTTTTTTTTTTTTTTTAAGGCAGTAACATGTTTTAGGTTATAAATACTTTCTCATCTGCTTAAAAAGATAGAACATTGGTATAGTGTAAATGTTTTTACACAAAATATCCGTATTCATCTACTCTGTAAATTTTTTTATTTTTTTTTGAAAGAACTACTTCGTAATTTTAAGCAAATCGAAATTTATTTTTATTTATTATGCTCCGTATTAAGTTAAAATTATTTACTACAAGTAGCTGCAAATTTAACTATGTAATTATATACTCTATATAATTTATAGAGCACTAATTTACTGTGGTATAGATGAATTTATTAAAAAAATTTAAGTGCAAGAAGTTTGTGGAAACGGATTAAACATCAAAATAAAAATCACACTTTATTATAGTTTATATACATCATCCCTCTCTAATAATATGCCACATGGACATTAGCCCATAAATTATGGAAACTGACAGTAAGTAGGGTGTTAAAACAAAAAAAAAAGACTTTCTTTTTTAGCTAAAAATAATGAAGTGTCAAATGAAAGGTAGTCAAAAGTCAAAAAGTAGCAGCAATCAGTTAATAAAGAGTATGAGACCAGACAAAATAGACTAAGGTTAAACCTTTTTCTCTGAACTCTGAAGTAACAGCCACTGTCTTTAAACTACAACTACTCACTTCCTTAAAAAAAATTTACCATTATTTCAAAGTTTTACCCTCTGATTCCCAACACTTGGGTCTGACTCTCTTGTCTATAACAGTAAAAAAATTCTGTGAAAGCTTTTGACTTTCTACCAACCGTATCCAATTTGCCTTTTTTTTTTTTTCTTTTATTTTATTTTTATTTTTATTTTTATTATTATTATTATTATTATTATTATTATTATTAATTTTTTTAAATATAATATTATTATTATAGATAAAGTGAAAACATCATTCTAAAGCAAGAGTAAGATTGTAAGAGAATCATATCTAAAGTGGCTCTTGTGCGAATTAATTACCTGAAAATCGATTCTAAGATCACCTGAAATCGGGAGGGGAGTTTTAGATATTCCCCACTCTCTATTAATATTACAAGTAGTAGTATTATCTTTTCCTTTGAAATTTGGTTCATTAAATATAGTTGTATAAAAAACCTTTTAATATTCTTTCCGTTTTATATTAAAATTATTTATATAGTATAGTTTTAATATTGAAAAATATATATAGATTTGAGGGAAAGGTGGGACAGTTTTCATGGATCCCAAGGGCACAAAGCAGCCACCATCACAGGAGGATGTACCACCACCACCACTTCTCCAACCCCACCACTTCTTGAGCCTCCCAAATCCTTCAATTACAACATCATCATCAACATTAATCCCAATTAATATGGTTGATAATTCCCACAATCACCTTAATCTCACCAACAACAACTCTATTAAACCTTCTGAAATCAAGGATTTCCAGATTTTAATTGCTGACAAACAGAATCAGCAACACCATCAACAACATGAGCAACAGCAACAAGAAGATGATCAACAACAGCAGAATCAGCAACAGAAGAAGCAGCAACAACAATTGGGGCCTAAAAGAAGTTCAAACAAAGACAGACATACAAAAGTAGAAGGCAGGGGAAGAAGGATCAGGATGCCTGCACTCTGCGCCGCAAGAATTTTTCAATTGACAAGAGAACTGGGTCATAAATCTGATGGAGAAACAATCCAATGGTTGCTACAACACGCTGAGCAGTCCATCATCGCCGCCACAGGGAGCGGGACGATACCGGCTTCGGCTTTAGCAGCATCAGGGGCCTCTGTTTCGCAACAGGGGACCTCAATTATCTCTGGCATCAACCAACAACACTATCATCATAAAATTGATGACTTGGGTGGTCCAAGTAATAGACCTACTAATTGGGCTGCTGCTTTGGTAGGGATGGGTGCTGCTGGGGGTAATTTGGGAATTTGGCCACCTCCGCCGCAACCCCTTCAAATGTCAACAACATCAACAGCAAGTATTAATAATAATAACAATAATCCAGCAACAGCAACAACAGGAGCAACTGCAGCAACTTTGGCTGGTGATGGTGGTAATTACTTGCATAAAATTGGGTATCCTGGGTTTGACTTAGGTGGGGCTAATCTTGGTCATATGAATTTTGGACCAATTTTAGGACATCAACAACAACAACAACATCAGCAACACCAGCAACATCAGCAACAGCATCATCAACAACATCAGCAACATCATCATCAACAACATAGTAATCATACAATGCCTGGTTTAGAGCTTGGTTTATCACAAGATGTTCATGTTGGTGTTTTGACCCCACAAGCATTATCTCAGATTTACCAACAAATGGGTCATTCTAGAAGTGTTCATGATGTTGGAAGTGGGTTGAGTTCTTTGCATCATCAACAACCATCAGATTCGAAAGACGATTCTCAAGATTCAGGATGATTGTTTTCACAAAGCTCTAGAAAATTAGCAGTTTGAAGGTAGGAGACAGAAACATGAGTTTCTTTTTTTTTTTTTTGGGTATTGTATAATTTGCAAAGTTGAGGGAAGATGAGATGGATAAATGGGTGATTAATTCAGTTTAATACTGAATTTTCTCCCCATTTTCTGTCTTTAAACACTCAAAAAAGATTCACAATTTTGGTTTTTTTCTATTTTTTTTTTCTTTTTTTCTTTTTTTCTTTCCTTTTTCCTTATGTAAATTTTTAAGTGTGATTTAGAATTTCATTGTCATAGTTCTGTTGTCTGTGATCATAGAATATGCAGAGAGAGGCGTGTTGATTATATTCAAATTAGGTTTAATTTTCATGGAGAAATGAGAATCTTTGATTTGGATTAGAGGTGTATTGATTAAAATTTGTGTTATTTTGCTTGTCATACTCCCTTTGTCTCTAAAAGTTACTCGTATTCTTGTTTTGAATTTTTTGATTTTTTTTACAAGACAATCACCCTCCAGGAAGAACTGTTAGAGGCGGACTTTTAGAGACGGAGGAAGTACTAGTAGTATTGTGAAATTCATGAACGTTATTTAGAGTGTAGATGATCATCATAAATAGGGTAGATATCTATGTCTGCTGCTTCTTATGGAAATTAATGAAATATAGAGGTGTTACTGCACCATATATTTGTCACACTGTATTTTTATATAGTGCATGAAAAGACCATATGCTGACATCTGCCTCTGCATCTTACTTAATTTGTACTGAAGGCCATGTGCAGCCATTTACAATTGCAGGTTGTGGAGGTGCATTGTAGTGTTTTTAGCTCAATCTTTCTTTTTACACTACTGTTTTTCTGATCATCAAATTTTACATGGTATGGTTTGTACAATAGGCTAAGATGGCCTCAAATTGTTAACTCTCTAGCCTAGTGGGTTGTGGGAAGCACTTGGTACACGAGTCGGGCTAATTGCTTAACTAGTTAGGCAACTAACCGTGGATGTATAATGCCCTTAGTTTCTCGATTATGAACTAGTTTGAGTCATTAAGGGTGTACTGATAAAAATGATAAGAAAGACTTATTTCGTAGAAGAATAGTTGTTTGTATACAAGTATTGTTTCATATTTGGGTAAGACTGCATATATCAGGCCTCCTAAACCGCCCTTTACATCAGTTTGCACTGTAAGTCGATCAGAGGATGATGCATCTACTGTAAAATTGATGGCGCCTGTGATTTGAGACTTGAGATGTGGAGAGTGTTTCTGTAAGTTATTATTGCTAAGAAATTTAATGTGACACTCTAATAGTCAATATAGATATGGCCATTTACCTTCATTTCCTGTGGTAAGTTAGTCTGTAAGTTGTTCATTTGCAGGTTGTGAACTACTAATATGTATTTGATGCAGACATGATTCCTATTCTTACAGATAAACCTCGGTGCATAATTGCCCTTGGTTGGTGACATCTAGGTCGTTGATCCGAGTCTGCGATGATAACCTTTTTACAACCGGGAGGCTGGAAGGGTAAGCTTTGTCTGTACTGTACTTAATGTGCCTCCCCATAAGCTGTTTTAGGTCAAGCATTGTGATTCTCTGCCTGCTTATCATTTCTGTCACACATTACTAGGAAGCATTTCCTCAAGTTCATGTATATCATGTTATGTGCCTGTTTAAGAGTGATGTCACAGCCCTTGAAAGATATCCTGAAAGACTTTAATACGAAGTACGAGTATTTGTTTAGGAGTAAATGAGTAATACATATCTTAGCATATTTCCTTACACATTCATAGTACAGTCTTAAATTTAGAGTAATACAGAGTTTAGCATACTTCCTTTTCACAAAAAATCAATATATATCATGTCTTAAGAATTAGTATTGACCAAAAGATTTTGTGCTGCAAGAAATTACTGTTATATTCTGTCACAGTCCTTCAATTTTCCTCTTCCTACTCACTAATTTAAGATGTATTTTTTTTTGGTGTCCTAACATAGATTTAAATCAGCATCTATATGCTACTACGTATGTAACTTAGAATTTTCATTCCACCTCAAGTAACCTTTGTCGGATCCTCTACACTTTGAGATGAGGATGCATGGACACTTCATAGTTACTAGCTAGTTTGACACTTCCATGGAAATTTTTCATAACTTAACTAGCCTAGCCTAGCACTAGTACTCGTACTCATGTTTGACACAAGAATCCGGGTCTAAGCAACATAGTATATTAGTATAGCAATAAATTGTTCCTTTCTTTTTGTGTGTCGTAGTTTTGGACATGCCACTGCAAGCCAGTTTCGGCATGTATTTGCTACTGCATATCTGCAAGCTGAATTACTTCATAAACTTCCATCAAGTTTTTTTCTAGTTTCATGCATGTTTCATGCTCTTAAATCTGCATAAATCATGTATGTCATTACCAATATGCAGTTGAGAACTTTTCAGCCTCTTTGTAACTTATTTTGTTAGTTGACTCAGAGTTCACAATACACATGCCATTGCAGGGACACATACCCTATTTTCCTGGGATTAGTTTGCCGCCTCATATTAAGTGCTAGTTTCATTTAAATGCAATAGTTATTAATAAAATGTATGGTTTGTTTGTTGTTGTCGTCAACTGCTAATCTGTTGTAACAAAATATGCAGGAAATGCAGAATTTAAGCCTTATTTTTGGGTGGGTGTAACTTTACCCGAATTGAGGGAAGTTTATATGTGCTCCTTCAAAAATAAAAATAAAAGAAAAAGAAGTTTGTATGTGCTTAGTGTTTATGCTAATAGATAGACATTAGCTAGTTTAGTTTGTTGGTTGAAGTTTTGAGGAGTGGTATCCAAAAATTGGATCTAATCTCGTTACATCATTGCCCTTTGCGATTCCTCTCTACACTAAAAAAAAAGTTGTATGTCAATGATTTCCATGAAAGTGTTAAAAAGACTTTAGACATAGGACAATGTTATAACTTATAAGGATTGGAAAACAAAATGATTCGTATATTTCTATTTAGTACGTAATATTGTTGCTTTCCTTATACTACATAGTTTATATCAACTCTTTAGGAAGGTATAAAATTCTAAACGACTATTGAAATGTAAAAAATCAACTAGATTTTAGTTAGAAATTTGTGTTTTTGTTTGTTAGGATTATCGAAACACTTGAAACAATACCGTCTTATTTGTGTCAATAATAAATAATCAACTTATTATTCTAACATACATCATAGTACCATACCATCATACATACACCACCTAATTGTAGTGCATGAATAATGTGAAAATGTGTCCTTTCACTAAGAGAGCATGTCTCTTTAATTGAAGGACAATCTTTTTGATTGCTCCATGATGTGAAGCAATTTTTCACTAATATGAGTCATTTCATAAAAATAAAATTCTTTTAATTAATAAAATTTCTCTAATTAGTGAATCAAAGCACATTTATCTTCTAAATGTTTTAATAAAAGCCTTAAACTTAAACATCAATGAGCTAAACCTCAATTTTCTTATCTGCTAGATTTGTGGAGGCAAAGATGTCGTATAGTCCCAACATTTATCGCTCTCATCGTTTTCTTTAAGCTTTGCTCTCGTTTACAGAATTCATATTCATGACTACCTTTTATTCGTGATTTGTTATCATCTGCTACTCCACTTTATAGGACACTTTTATATGAAGTATTTAATGAATGTTAACAATAAAGTTATCACGTTTAAACATGTAGTACTTTGAAATATTAAATTTTCATATTCAGATTTTCTTGGTTTACATTGCTATAATAGCTAAATTAAATTTTGAAAACAAATGCAATATTAAACGAATCTTGAGTACCGTACCAATCACAGCTAAGGAGATAGTTTCTTATTACTAAACCTTGCAAATTTGACACGCAACAAACTACCCAAGCCAAATTACCCATTACAATTCTATATTGTATCAAATGTACACGTAAAACCAAGGCTATTAAACTTGCAATTCTTCTGTCACCTTTAACATTCGAGCTCATGTAAAACTAAGGTTTATGTTGTTATATTCAACCAAAAAAAAAAAAGAAGGGGTTTATGTGTTGCCTTGTTGGACAATAGACTAGTTTAATAGCCAAACTCCACCAGGCACTGAGGTTGTACCAAAATATGGTTTTGAAACTGATCTTTATCTCCTCGCTTATTTTGATTTTAGTCTTATAGGAGTGTTAAATTACTCCATCCGTTGTCTTGGGAAAAAAAAAAAAGTTACTCCCTTCATTTCTGAATATCGTCTTAATTTTTAAAGGCTATAGTCCTATACTCCCACGATCTCTCTTTACTTTATTTCTTATTGCATATGCAAAAAGTCAAAATTTACAAACTCACTCAAATTAGTCAAACACAATTCTTTAATAAAGTAAAATGTTGTAATAGGACAATTTTTAAGCAACGCGACATTAATATGGAACTTGAAACTTGTTGTCACGCTTATATGTAAATGATGAAGATTGAAGGTGAAACATTTTTAATTTTTTTTGGAAAGAATATTGGACTAAATGTTTCAGAGGGCCAGTACACATCTTTTTGGATATAGTCCTATTACTTTCATATCTACTCTAATTAGGCCTGGCCCAGTTTAGTATTCTTGTAAGAGAATCTACTAATCTAATGCGTTTTCAATCATCAATCAATAACTTAATACTAAAACAGACATCGGGAGTGACATGTATCACATTCTGGTCCTGTTTTTTCCCTCCAAAACTCCCCCTCCCCTTTCAGCAAAAAAAATTTATTTTTGGAATATTTTTATAATAAAACTATAATAATATTATTCCAAACTTATATATTACCTCTATATAAAATGTATTCCTTTTTATTGTATTCTAAAATTTTCCATTCACATTTACTTAAAATATTTTTCCAACTCTTTTTTAATTATCTTTTAAATGAGTATTATTGAGTTTTACCGAAAAAGTAATAACAAAATTGATTTATATCGAAGTAATTGATATTAAAGAAATTACTTTAAAACATCACTATAATTTTTTTTGTTTTTTTTTTCAAATTCCTTTTTATTTTGTTATTAGACTAATGGAGTATTAAATATGACCGCAAAATAAATATTGTGTTCGACAACTATATTATATGTCTAATTCGAAAATGTAAAATATCAATCAATTTTTTATTATTACATTATTAAAAAGGAAAAAAAAAAAGAGTTAATAAGTAAATACAAAAAAGTTATTATCTTTTGCTGAAACACTTTATTGAGATGATAATTTTATCACATTCCACATTCGTAAATAAGCTGCATTTTAAAAAACACGTCGCACATAGTGACAGGTGACATATTCTTGTGTTTTTTTATTTTATTTTATTTTTTTGGGAAAAATTGCTATCATCGACAAATAAAATTTTAAGGCAATAAACAAACTATGATCAAACTAGAA